CACACAGCCCACCCAGACACACACAGCACCCCCAGACACACACAGCCCACCCAGACACACACAGTGCACCCAGACACACACAGCACCCAGACAGACACACACAGCACCCCCAGACACACACAGCACCCCTGGGGGGGGGATATATATATATATATATATTTTTTTTTTATTAATAAAATAAATATTTAAATTTAAATAAAAAATACATTCACACTCACACACACACAGCGCCCCCAGAGACACACAGCGCCCCCAGAGACACACAGCGCACCCAGACACACACAGCACCCCCAAACACACACAGCGCACCCCGACACACACACAGCACCCCCAGACACACACAGCACCCCCAGACACAGCACCCAAACTCACACTGCACCCCCAGACACACACAGCACCCTCACTCACACTGCACCCCCAGACACACACTGCACCCTCACTCACACACACAGCACACTCCCACACATATACAGCACACACATATATATATATATATAAAATAACCCTCAGTGAGTTAACAGACAAAGAAAATTAGAAACCTAGAATGTGACAGCAGATAAAAACACCCTCACACACAGCACCCCTCTTACATACACACACTGCGCCCCTCACACATACAATAAGTCCAAATATATATATATATATATATATATACATACACACACACACACACACACACACACACTACAGCACCCCTCACACTGCACCACTACACACATTACGCTCCAGATAACACTAGATCCCTTACTCTATATGCACTCTTAATCCTCTACACACACACACACACACACACTGGGTCCTTTACCCAGTAGATCTCCTATACACACACACACTACATTCCTTGTCAGCAAACACATACAACATTCTCTAAACACACCCTCTCTGTAACCCCTACACACACTACGTCACCTATACACATACACTTCAGCCCGTATGCACTCTCTCGCGGCATCCCACACTCTCTACAGCCCCTAGCCACACATATTACACCACAAACACAAATTAAATTGACCTATTTATACAATACCACAATACACACACGCAATCCCACAAGCAGGCTCCAAACATATGCACCATGCACTTTCCTGGCCCTTTTGTCCTCTGGTATCCCACTCGTGGAGACACCAGAGACAATTTAAAAGCAAACACAGCGCAAGCATGTTATTAAATTTGCTTGCCCTGCGCAGAATAAATTCAGGGCCTTTTTCTAGTGCCAGAGCTCTTTAGCAGGGCTCTGCGCATTGAACCAACATGCTCACTTTGAGAGGGGGCATGTTGTCATTAGTGATGACAAAACACACACTTTCTGGCCCCGCCCCCTTCTTAGGGGGCCGCTCTGATTGAAAAATGCCCGGGCCTAATTTTTTCCCCAGTCCGGCCCTGGCATACACTAACACACACACTGCATACACTAATGCAACACACACACTGCATACACTAATACAACATACACTCTGCATACACTACACACTAACACACTCACTGCATCCACTATACTGACACACACTCTGCATTCGCGACACATTAACACACTCTGCATTCCATCCATGTCCCCCTCCCCTCCATGTCTCCTACCCATTCCAACAATGTCTCTCCCCCCTCCAAATTCAGCTACCCCTCTGTGTCCCCTTACATTTCCACCCATGTCCCACTCCATGTCTCTCCCCCCCTCCATTCCATGTCCCACTACCCCTGCCATCCATTCCTCCCACTCCATGTCCCCTTACCAATTCCATCCATGCCCCCTCCTCTCCATGTCTTCCTACCCATTCTGTCCATGTCCCTACACCTCCATGTCATTCTCTCTCTCCCTCCTCCCCCACGTGGCAGGCAGCCTGTTCCCTCATAGAGCAGGCGCCCTAGGTGAGCATAGCGCTAACTCTGACACCGAATGATAGATGACTCCCTGTAAGCTGTTTTACCTGTCTAGGCAGGGTAGGGGGGCTCATACTGTCCGGCAGCGCACTCTGCCACCTTCACGCTGAGCCCTGGGTGTCACATTGTAAGAAATTGATATGCAAAACTGCAATATTGTATGTATATAACTTTTTGTGTATTTCCTTGATAACAGTGTAATAAGGATCAAAGCTTTCAGTTGCATTTTACAGCACCCGCTGAAACAAAAGCTTACAGCCCTCCAACAGTTCTCCTGTCAACCATTTTTCCATGCATGTTATCAAAAGACCAGAGTAATTAACATCTAGGTGTAACCATTGAAGTATGTGTTTTCCCAAGCCACCATGTCTCTAAAAGAAGCCATACTGTCCAATTTAAATAGAAACCAATCCTAACTGGTCAGTTTTTACAGAGTGTTGTAGTGTAACTGGAGGGAAGAGATCAAAGGGAAAGACTTGTATAAAGACAGAACTCTCTGGAAAAGGGGGGCAGGCTAAACCACTTTTGGGAGGTCAAAGGGATTCTGGGACTTGTAGTTAATGACTGCAAGAATCAGTCTTTAAAAGGACAACAGCCAAGGAGGTTGGGTCCCTCTCCTTTCTTTGTCTCTTTTGGAGAAGACAGCGCAGCAAGCACAGGTGACTGTCTCATACTACCAAGATGAAGGCGCAAGGGGAAGATCTTCATTGAAATGTCTAAGTATTGCTCTTTTATTATGTAGCTTTTGATTATGTACTGGATATAATGTATAATGTGCAATGTGTATATCTTTTAAAAATCTAACAGTATCCTTAAATTAATATTTACAATACATTTTATAATACACTTGTGTTTGTGTCTTATTTGTCACACATTCCCTAAAAGAATATCCTTGTAAGAGGGTCATAATTTCTTACAACACGACGCCCGGCGCTCCTACACAAAACGGGAGGGGGAGGTGCTCACAGCTAACTTAGACTGCATGTGATTCCCTTACGGAGCTGCTTACTACCTGCAGGTCGAGGGGAGAGCAAACATCCCTTGTCAGTCTGACAACTGATTTTTGCGCTCCTGGAGGGGGTCGGTTTCAGCAATGGTTCAGAGAACTTGTTAGATGTTAGTAACAGGGTTCCCGTGAACTGGCTGAATCCCACCACTGGATCTGCACACGTTTTTTAAACATTCCTTTGAGAGAATGTATTGATATTGTTACAGAATTCTTATTGAAATTTGTCAGATTATCAGGTAAATACAGGCCAGGCCCTGGTTAGTTATGTGCAAAACTAAAATAAGCCTATAATATTTAAAGTAGATTTGGTGGAGGCCCCCCAAAATAAAGAGCACAAAATGTCCTTTTTTTTCAATATTGGGAGCACTATGTTCTTTTTGTAGACACTCAACATCTGCAAAACCTTTCAGCTGACTGGCCGGCACTCGTTGTGAAATCTTAATGGGAGACTAAGCGTTAACCTGAGCTAGCCAAGCTATTTATTGATAAATATTTTAAAGTGTGTTTTCTTCCAGATGTGACTATTTTGTGGGGTGCTTGGTAATCTAATTCTGACACCCATTGCAACCTTCTGCTTCATATTAAAACAAAAAAATGTTTGGAATAAAAATACAGGCTACGAATTAAATCTGCTCTCTGTCTGTAATATATACTAAAGAGTGTCTATTTACGTAACTTATCTCATACGTTCAAATAAACACCGGTACCTTATGTGTTTTTAAAAGATAAAATATCTAACAAAACTTCCACTAACACTATTCTTTCAAAGACAATTACAAATATATAACAATCACCTTATTAAACACCACAAAGGTATTTTATCTAGAATTTATATAATTCATCCATTCATTTATCCTTTTATGTAATTCCCATTCATCCTGGTGACTGTAAATCGGCAAATCAAAGTGGTATTAGCAGAGAAAACCTACAGAAAGCCTTGGAAGAGGCGAATACAATGATCAAACCCATAGTAAGCGAAAGACAGTAATTAATGTTATTGTCACGGCTCCCCGCAATTCTGTCGGCGTGGCCGCACTGAAACATAGCAGCTACGTTGACAGAAAAATAATATACTGACCTCGGTTGCCGCAAACCACAGCCCGACCTCCTTCTATCTCGGTTCCTGCAGCGGCCGGCGTACCTAGAGACGCTTGCCGCTGCAGTTCCGGTTTTCATAGGAGACTTACCTCTGCCTACATCAAAGATGGTGTCACAAATGCGCACACATGTTTTGGGGTCAGAGGTCAGAAACAGCCAATTACAGCCTAAGGAGGGTTCTTTAAACCAAAATTACCTTTCTGTCAGTTCCCTGTTGTGGTTTCCACTAGCTGGTTATCTGAGAGTATGTTCCTGATTGCGTTTTTCTGGTATTTGACTTTGGCTTCGTTTTGACTACCATGATTTTTCTGGTATCGTTGACTTTTGACTTTCTCCATCGTTGTGTCTCTTTCTGTATCCCTGACCTCGGCAAGTATTTTGACTATTCTCAGGTACTTTAAGTTCGGCCATTCTAAGGTCCGGTTAGACGTTATCCTTAGTCTTAGGTGTGATACTATTCTGTGTGCTGGATCAACTGTAATCCTGACAGTTACCTGGTATCCGGATGTCCTCAGGTAAAGTGTCGTTATAAGCACCATAACAACTCTGCTGCACAGGAGGTTTGTGGGATAAGATCAGAATCCATAGACCACAACGTGAAGTTCCTCTTTCTGGTCAAGATATGCAAGGGATCAACGGATATTATTTTTACAGAGTGGATCCCGATAGAGATTATTGGTCGCTTTTCAGGTCAATTGCCAATAACTGGTGAATATATTTTGTACATTTAATGTTTTGAAAAAGCAACAACATTTCTACACAAATTTGGCATTAAATGAACATGCTGACAGAAATCACACCTGTCTTAAAGGACCACTGTAGTGCCAAGAAAACAAACTCGTTTTCCTGGCACTATAGTGCCCTGAGGGTGCACTCACCCTCAGGGTCCCAGTCCCGTGGCGCTGAAGGGGGAGGAAGGGGTTAATCCCTTACCTTTTCTCTAGCGCCGAGCTCCCTCGGCGCTGGGACTCTCCTCCCTCTTCTTCCGTCATCGGCTGAATGCAGGGCCGGCGCGTCCATAAGGCGGCACAGGCGGCCGCCTTAGGGCGCACTGGCTCTGGGGGCGCAAAATTCCGGTGACCGGCAGGAGGGAAGTGCTCCCTCCTGCCAGGTCACCTCCTGGATCCCCGGCGCGGCGTGCGGCTTATTTGGATGCCGAGGGAGCTCTGATCTCTCTGATGTGCTCCCTCGCAGGCTGTTTACTGATGACGTCATATTCCCACTCCCGCGGCAGCCGTAAGCAGCCTGCGAGGGAGCACATCAGAGAGATCAGAGCTCCCTCGGCATCCAATTCAGCCGCACGCCTCCCAGCAGCCCCACTGGACCACCAATGAGAGACCCACGCCAGCTCTCCAGGTAGGGAGGCTGGGTGGGAAATTTAAATTTAATTTAGATGGTTAATTACTGTGAGTGTGTGCATATGAGTGTGTGTGAGTATGTGTGTGAGTGAGTGTGTCTGTCAGTGTGTGTGAGTATGTGTGTCTGTGAGTGTGTATGTGTGTCTGTCAGTGTGTGTGTGTGTCTGTCAGTGTGTGTGTGTGTCTGTCAGTGTGTGTGTGTCTGAGTGTCTGTCAGTGTGTGTGTGAGTGTCTGTCAGTGTGTGTGTGAGTGTCTGTCTGTGTGTATGTGAGTGTCTGTGTGTGTGTGTGAGTGTCTGTCTGTGTGTGAGTGTCTGTCTGTGTGAGTGTTTGTGTGTGTGTGTGTGAGTGTCTGTCTGTGTGTGTGTGTGTGTGTGAGACTGTCTGTCAGTGTGTGTGTGAGACTGTGTCAGTGCGTGTGTGTGAGTGTCTGTCAGTGTGTGAGTGTCTGTCAGTGTGTGTGTGTGTGTCTGTCAGTGAGTGTGTGAGTGTCTGTCAGTGAGTGTGTGAGTGTCTGTCAGTGTGTGTGTATGTCTGTCAGTGTGTGTATGTCTGTCAGTGTGTGTGTGTCTGTCAGTGTGTGTGTGTATTTCAGTGTGTGTGTGTGTCTCAGTGTGTGTGTGTGTCTGTCAGTGTGTGTGTGTGAGTGTCTGTCAGTGAATGAGTGTGTCAGATAAGTGAGTCTGGCTGTCAGAGATGTCTGTGTTTGTCACTGAGTGTGTGACTGTCAGTGTTTATACACCCCTGACTGTAGCGTGGCCAAGCGGAGTGTACCGTGGTACAGGAACTTCTGTTTCCTGTACCTGGAAGGACTGACAGGAAAAGCTCACTGTACCGGGATTCGCTCCGCTCAGCCACGCTACAAGAAAGGTAGGAGGCACACCAGGAAGGGGAGGGGACCACTATGGGGGTGGGTGGCGCACCAAGGGACATGGAGAAGAGGGGAGAGATACCCTAAGGTACAGGAAAAGGAGGGAGGGGGAGAGGAACACTAAGCGACAGGGAACAGAGGGGGGAGGGGAGAGGAACACTAAGGGACAGGGAAAGGAGGGGGGAAGGGAAAGGAATACTGAGGAACAGGAAAAGGAGGAGAGAGGGGAGAGGAACAGTAAGGGCCAGAGAAGGGAGGGGACCATTAAGGGACAGGGAGAGGGGCTGGATGTGAAAGAAACACACACCGGTGCTTGAGAAGGAAAGAGACACAAAGGAGCTGGGAAGAATAAAAGACACAAAGGGGCTGGGAGAAAAGGAGTCACACAAAGGGGCTGGGAGGAGTAAGACACAAAATGTGGGAGGATGTAAGAGTCATACAAAGAGGAGAGATAGGAGACACACAAAGGCAAAGGGAGTCAGATATTTAAAAGACGGGATAAGAAACACAAAAGGGAGGTTAAGAGGCACATGGGTGAAGATGTTTTTGGGGGGAGTGGGGGGCATCTTCGCCTATGTACCCAAAATTCTTTGCACCGGCCCTGGCTGAATGCGCATGCGCGGCAAGAGCCGCGCGCGCATTCAGCCAGTCTCATAGGAAAGCATTATCAATGCTTTCCTATGGACGCTGGCATCTTCTCACTGTGAAAATCAGAGTGAGAAGCGCGGAAGTGCCTCTAGCGGCTGTCAATGAGACAGCCACTAGAGGCTGGATTAACCCATAGGTAAACATAGTAGTTTCTCTGAAACTGCTATGTTTACTGGAAAAAGGGTTAAACCTAGCTGAAGTGGTCCGGGTGCCTATAGTGGTTCTTTAAGCTAAGCTCCGCATGCCGGGACTCACAAAAAGGGGTGACATGAGAACACGACATGGTGCCTTATTGGCTGGGGGCTGGAGTTTTCAGATGCAGAAGACGATGGGCATCAAATGCGAGAGGTAAGTTATCGATAACTTCAGTAAATTAAAAGAACAATACAGGAAAATATATCTAAAATATGCTAAATATCAGCACTATTAACCTGTTAACCCTGGGATCTGACAATCTCAGCTGTGCAACTTCAGGATTATTTGAGATACATTGTGTGCATAATCTACTTAATACTTACGTAGTTAGGGCAGACTGCACACCAAGAGGAGGTCTACAGGACTCGAG